GAAATTATTGAATATAGTGACTTGATTGCATCGATACGAAATGTATCGTTAATTTATTTTAAAGATACCTTTTTCACTAATTATCTAATTAATTTTAATAGAATACATCTTGGAAAACCAAGATTAGTTTGCAAAGATTGTATCTAATAATTTTAAAATATTGACACCAACGGCTTCTGAATTTTTTGACGTTAAAGTTTAACGAAAGTAGCATACATTGAGCTATTTATAATCGCCATGTAAGTTATGTTTGAAGTAATGGCGTACTTATGAAAATTTATGTAATAAAGCTATATAAGGAGCCGCGAAAAGGTACCGTCTAATCACTCGATGGCCATTAAACTGAAGCAATAACTCTCTACATAGTAGCGAGCATATACAAAGACTCATAATTCTTTGCTAAAGTCTTTTGTAGCTCAGAGATTGATGGTGCCTCTCCTTAGGTGGCCTGTTAATAAGCATTCGTTAATTCCACTTAAATCAAGCTTACGAACCTAAATTCAATGTTTCGCGTTTACGATGGAAATGCTGGTAATAAAATATAAAAAAACCAATATGTCTTTATAATTAAACAGTTTATATTATAAGTATCATTGCGTGGGTACCTGTTGTTATTTTTACTCGTAATTTTTAATTTTATAAAATGCCAATACATTTACAAAATATATTACTATATGGTCAAGTGTTTTTGATAACAAACAAAACTATAATTTGTGTACATTCAATATATTGGAATATATTTATTACTAGGGACCCTTCACCCTAGCTTGCTTTCCAATACAAACATTCATCCTCATTTTCAGATAAAAATTATTCTATGTCCTTCTCAGGGTCAAACTATTTTCTTACCAAATTTCATCTAAATCGGTTCAGTAGATCCAGAGATTACTCACACACAAACTTTACCCCTGTATTATATTTGTATAGATTAGCTGATCCGAGGTCGTTCTGTCAAAATTATTGGACTTATGTTTTTCCGTGTTTTTTTTTTCAATTTTTAGAAGAACATCCATCGGACTTTAACGAATATGTAAAAAAATCCCAATTTTTCAAGCCGTTGGTAGGACTCTGTCAAGCCTGAGAAGTCCGACTGGATGGGTACTACCTCCTTATCTATTTCTCCCGCCAAGCAACAATGATTACATTGTTGTGTTCCGGTTTGAAGGATAAGGTAGCCAGCGCAATTGCAGGCAAGAGGCATATCATCTTAATCCGCACAGTGACAGCGCACCGACGGTTCTGCATTTTGTTACATAAATCTAAGTGCATGAACCGTAGGTGTTATGAGCGGCACGTTCTGCTTTCCATCAGGTGTTCTGTCTGCTCGTTTGTCACTAAACACAATAAAAAAAGCCGTTCTCGAGTTTTGCGCTTAGCAACACATTTAGCCATTCATTTTTATTTATGAGATATATTTACGAATTTGCATAACTAAGGAAGTATAAAATTTCTAATTATTTTAAATACGTCATAAAATTATTTGTCTAACTTTATCTATCTATAAAGGAAATGACGATGTTATATAAATCTAACCACTTTTTATAACATTTCTGTAGATATTAAGAAGACAAGATCTAATATCTACAAGTTATGTTGTGTATGTTTTGATAATAATCACCGAAAAATAATATCTAAGCATAGCATTTTGGTAATTAAAAAAATCGTAAAACTGGATGTAATGGATAACAAGAACGTAATTTATATTTTAAGAGTATTCGTGATCAATAAATAATACGCTTATGCTCTTGTGCTTTCGTGACTACTCTCATCTTTACCACTTCAGATTATCTTGCGCTTATTACCAATCTATTATTTCAAATGTAAACATAATCATACCACATAACTTTTAATATTATTATGCGAATTACAATTATAAAATATAAATAATACGACTAATCTCCATTAATAAATATTTCATATTACAAGGAGTTATTTTTAGTTAATGTGATGAATTTTACAAGGCAAGCAAACGGCTTCCGCGACATCACTTTTGACGGCTGACCACTAACGGTGAAGATAACTGATTGAAAATACCTAATTTAATTACAAAGTAATAATAGGTCACTGTTCACTACCTTCGGTTGAAAGCTAACGGTGATGTAGATAGTCATCTACTAGTTAAAAAAAAATTAATAACAAAATTTATTTCTAAGCTGTTCCCATAGAAACAGAAGTATATTCTATGTTTCCATAGATTAATTACCTTTTACTGGATAACATACCTATTAATATTGTAATACGAACATGTCGACCATTTCTGACTCTCTTTAAAAAGCAAGTACGTAGTATTGGTTTTATTGTAGTATAAATTTTCATAGAACATAGAAAAAAATTGTACTCTAATCTTTTACCTCGAGAGACGCATTCACGTAAATCAGTTAGCCAGTTCTACCCTCTAACACCTACCGGAACGTCCCTGTCATAATGGGGCGGCACAGGCTCAAGATTATGTTTGCATTCAACCATGACGCCCGATGGTTAGCCCACCGAAACAGACCTCCCGAGCGATAAAGCCGGCTGCCCCTCCGACCAATCATTTCTTGGGCGCTGCCCGATCGATAGGTTAGGGCTATTTTTTTTTATGAGGTCTACGTCCCACATCTGCAAAAAGTCATTGGGAGTTACTTCCCCATTATAGGTCATTAAGTGCCTCTTAGTTCTTGGATTCGCTCTTGGTTATGACGCTGGAAGCTACTGAAAAATTATACTAAGTGTAAGTTGGACTTGCGTAGATATTTGGTTCTATATTTTATTTGAATTACGCATTATAACATTTATTCGTATTACTTTACAACAAGCACTTCCATTCTATTACTCTTGTTATGTATGTCATACGCGACTTATTTAAAAAAGTTTCCGTTTGTACATAATAGGCAGAATCCAAAAAAGGGCAATTTATATTTTAGCTTGCTAATTGTTTCCTTAAAGAACCAAGGAAATGGTTGAGCGTACATCATTCATATAACTTCCTCCGATTGGAAAGATTGCAAAGACAAAAACATGTAAAATGCATTATATATACCAGATACCTACATACTGTTATGGGGTGATATGCAAATAGAGATTATAAAAGAATTTTAGATAATAATGTTCATGAGATATATCAATAACTAGCGACTTACCCTCGCTTCGCTCGGGTGCGTCCGTAGGTGCGTTTTTTATGTTTTGAGCGGAACCCTAATTCCTTTTCTAAAGTAAAAGTAACCTAAGTGAAAGTCCCGTCAAAATCAGGCTATTTCAGAGATTAGCCGGAACGAACAAACAAACATTTTAAAAATTGTGTTTCTTATAAGTACCTACCGTTTATAATTTCATATGCATTTAATAAAAAGCTTTTATTTTGACATTACAAGCACACACTTCAATTGTATTTATCTGCATAGAATAATCATGGAATTAAATGACCTGCTAAATAGAGCTTTACAAGTGTAGAATAAATTCGAAATATCCTATTACATCTTGATAAATAAGGATTTCTTCTACAATGTAATAACATGTCGCAGCCATGAAGGAAAGTGGTTATAAAAGATGAAACGTATTCTTATTATAATAGGTATTAGACATGAGCTAGACGTGAGAAAAAAGAGCCGTCGTTAATTAAGGGCGATAATTGGACATGCTCTGACAGCTAATATTGTGTTCAAATTGATTTGTGTTCAAAATTGAATAGATTTTGACAGAATCAATAAGCCACCGAGTTCTCATGGTACAGTATAATTAGTATGACAATTGCTATTTAAGTATAATAGTAACAAGAAAATAATTATTTTATAAATTTTGTTTTTTTTTTATTTAATTTGATTCTTATATTTAGTAAATTACTATAGATATAATATAAGCGTAGTTATATACATAAGTTATTTCTATACAAAATCTTTAACATTCCTATTTATTATTAATATTTCAGAAACAATGTAACATTATAAACTGTGATCTTTATTATATTACTAATTAGTACTGTTATTTCTAACTTAATGAATATATCTGAATAATTAGTTTACAGAAAGATATGAGATTTTGGTATAGTTCGTTTTCTAATAACTCATCTCTTACAAAGATAGTTTCTAGGAAGATAGTTAAAAATACCGTTCAATAGGTTGTCCGTACTTTACGTCAATCAGTCGTACGTTACGTTGGATAACGAGTGCAAAATGCTTCACATGAAACAACATTCATAAAAGATTGTGACTTGACCCTTATTCTGTTACAAGCATAATACGCGGGCACAATGCGCCCATCAGTAGTTACCGACAAAACGAAGCAAGAGTAATTATAAAGATAATGAAAACGCACAGATCGGACATGACACGTAACTCACCGACAATAGCGTTGAGATAACAAGACAGGAACCAGTTTAAAATTCCTTCTAATCGAATATGGCCTTTATGGTTGTCTTTAACACGATTATTATATTTTAAGAGGTCTTCTGTGACTTGCATTTTGTTCAGAGCGCATCTACTTGAGGTGTCGATCTGTCGAATAAATAGCTTTGCGTCCAAGTGATTGATTAATGACAGGTCCAGCGAAAACAGACTAGCTACCTAATTAAATACTTCTGACAGCCATTGACTAGCCGGAAACATCATCTGGAGATGGACATTTAATTGTTTCACAGCGCGCTATTACATGATTTGATAAGTGCCTAATTTGTAATTTTAATATAATTTTATTATATCAGATTTAGTTCTTTTTTGTCACAGCTGTATTGTGTAACAATGAACGCGAGATGCGATGGTTTAATTTAACTTTGTGTTGTAAATTTTAAATGATTTTAATTAGAAAATTTTCCACCAAAAAGTTATACCAACTTACTTCACCTATTTCGTTAGTATGTCGACCATTCGCACTTTTTACTGTCAAAAATCGAATCTTGACAGGTTAACATATTTCTATTACATTGATGATTTATCCTGAATGTATTTTATATCAAAGGGTTCTATTTCTATTTATTAAATAAACTATCTGCCATGGTCTATTATTATACGTCAAAAAATGTGAAAATGTTACGAAATATTATAATTGATTACGGCGCTTCTAATGAAATATCACCAAGCGAGTATATGAAAAATTACATTGAAAAGTGCCCCGAGACTATGGGTGATGACAAAATCTCTTGGGTTGTTGAAACTTTCTTAAGTATTCAAAAAAATGGACAATTTCTAAAGGAAATGGTATCTTATGTATCTAAAGAACTCTCTGAAGAAGACCAAGATTATTTCTTAATAGCCTTTCATGCCATAACTTTTCAAATTACGCCAAATGATATGCCATCAGTATATAAATGTTTGTTTAACTTAAGTAAGTCTTTACTTGCTGTATTCGCAACATTTTTAAGTAATAACGAAATTCTTACATTTATATCACAAGTGGCACAATCAGATTATGACACAAATTTTGTAACAGAAAAAATAATAAGTCCTTTATTTTCTTGGCAACCATATATAAGTGAAATGGCACATAGCTATGCTCAATTCGTTAAAAAGGTAGAAAAACAGAGTATAAAACAGCCAACCGTGCCGATATCACCGAAGGTTCTAAATAGAAGAAGTAAAAAGCCGCAGTGTAACAACGTTATTTTACCTACTACTCCCCCAAATTCTCTATGTACTAAACGAAAAACAATGCTTACTAAAGAAGTAATTGATGAAAAACTAAAAAAAAACTATGATAATAACAAACAAAAAGCTTTAAAACTCTTAAAAACTGTAAAAACAAATAATGTTCACTACGCCCAAATTAAGCCGGATAAACCTCATAAGAAAATGAATAATTATTTAGAAAAAGTTAATAATAAACAAAAAGTTGGTATTCCAAAATTTACATCGAAGTCCAATATAAACTATACAGTACCTGTTTTAAAAGAGACATCGACTACAGTGAAAAGAATAAATAAAAGAATTGAATTGACAGAACAAGAAGAAATTCAGTGGCTACAAGATTTAGTAAATGACTGTCGAAACACAACGAAAATTGAAGAACTTGAATGCAATGATCGTCAAAAAAGAGAAAGAGAAAGATTAATAGATATTGAAAGAAAGCATCTGTTAGGGCAAATTTCTTATGAAGAAGCAATTATTGCAAAAAAGAAACTGTTTGAGGAAAACAAACAAAAATATTCGGAATTCTTAAAAGAGAAACAACAATGGGAAGAAGAAATTGAAAAGTGGAAAAGATATGAAATGGAAAAAAATAGGAAACAGGTTGAAAAGTTGTCGCTTGTTGAATTATGCATGCTTCATGCAAAAAATAATTTATTGATGGAAAAGAAACGAGTTGCTGATGAATTAAAAAAGGAATCTGAGCAAATGTTAGAAATTGCCATGAAAAATAAACAAGAAGAATTAGAACAAAAGATTAAAATGATACAAGAAATAAAGATATTAGCAAAAATTGCAAAAAAGGCAAAAGCTCCAAAAATTATAGATTTGACAGAATCTTCTGGTGTAGGTTTATTGTGTGAAATGTCTATTGCAGAATTACAAGAAAAATTGAATATTATTAAAATTGGACTGAAAGAAGATCTTGAGAACAAAAAAAGAATAATAAAAGAAAAAAATTTGTCCGCAAAGCGTGATATGGAAGAATCAAAACGATCTATTAAAACTTATATGTCAGAACGAGCAGAACTAAGAAAAAAAAATCAATCCACTAAAACTGCTATTGATATATCATCTAGCAAGGAGATAAATCACTTAAAAAATATATTGGATGAAAAGAGAAAATTACGTGTTAATCTTGCCGTTTAGTTATAATGTTGTATTTGGATATTTAATAAATGAAGTTATTTTAATTACACTTCATATTTCTTCATAGATACATCACTGAAGCCCCTGGGTACTACTCTCGAATGGAATCTATATTTTAGCCAGGGGCCTAGTACGTAGATTGCTTCATTCAAAGGATAGATAACAATAAATAAATACGCCAACCATCACGGATCTTAAACTACTTCATACTAGCAACTAGCAAACAATCTAAATAATCTAAATTTATACATACAATCGATATGAATTGACCGTTTAAATTCTTATTTCAGTAATTCTTAATGTCAGTGGAAAAATAAATTTAAAATTTTCTAATTTAAAAAGAATAATGATAAAAATAGCTCATCGTCCTATATCTATTCCTATATATATTATAATATAATTGCCATCAATAAAATTATAATAGGTACATTTTTATGAAATGATCTAAATAATTTGTGTCTCGACAAAAAAATATAGACTCGACATAAGTACAACTTTGATGATATCCTGCACAGTATAATTGCAAATTATTGTATTATGACGAATCGTGTCTTCAGGCGAGTCCAATCAATGCGCAGCTCAAACTGATCGCAACACTTAATTAGTACCTGGCAAAGTGAAATATTGGTAATGGAATTTACAATACTGACATGATATATCTTACAACAAATAATAGTAACCAACAGCCCATGCAATATTACGTTTTTATTTTGATTATTATTAATACAATAAACTTAGAATATTTACCTCTCTAAACTAGCCGCATATTAAAGAGACATTAATGTTTCTAAATGTTTATATCATCCCTAAATAGAGTCGTTTATTTCGACTGATTGTGTGCTAATAGTCACATATCAATATCAATATAATAGAACAAATCAGGCGACGATTTCTCGAAATCCGAAAAGACTAGTCGATACAATTTGGATTAGAGCAATAAATATGTCGGGGTCGCCTGTTCATTTGTATCGGCGTATAATTTAAATTCTTTAACGCCAATGTTCAAGATTACGCGGTGAGATAGAGACGCGGGCGCCCGTGTCGCAGCGATAACCACCAAATAAATTTATATTTCCGACCGATACCGACCGACTTCTCTCTTTGTAGATAATTCGGCCGGTAACGTTGAATGACTCTATTAACAGCTTCCCTTTTAGGGATAAATGTCGACTTTGTGTTCAATCTATCGGGCCGTATGTATAGTATACTGTATAAATAGATATTTTTTTAAATTAATATAAATAAAATATACAAAAAACTTAATATTTTGAAAGCTTACAATACTATAATTATCTTTTATAGATTGTTATTTGGGGTTTGGTTAATATTTTATATGTTTTATACATCCCATAATTAACCAACATGAGTCATTGATACGTATATTTTATAAAAATGGCAAAAATATTTATTATTATTGTATCAGCTATATAAATCAAATATTTTTAGGATAAGACTACAGATACGGCACATCTTCGGAAGATTTAACTGATAACAGTAAAACGTCAATAACCACCTAATTGGGAAAGAACACTCTGCCCACAATCACCGAACCCGAGTGAGTGAGAAACAAATAAATATTGTAACACACATCGAGATAATTTCAACGATAACTTAATGTGCTTACATTTTGGATCTGCTCATGGTTTTATGGAACTACCTACGATATTATCTGATTGTTTTTTTTTTCCAAATTAACAATAAATTTTAAGTTATCTGTGTAAGGAGTGAGAAAAGTGAATTTGTTTAGGGCATCATTTGTTCATTAGTCGTAGGTATTCAAATTTCCCTTATAATACAGCCGGGATAAAATCGGTCCCAAAAATATGTACCTTTAATACAGAAATGATGGATGGTAGACAAAAGTTTTGATACCATATTACAGTAGGTACAATAAAAATTAAAAATATATTATCTGAAAAATAATGAATATACCTTTAGTGTAAGACACAATGAACCTTTTTTTTCAGGAAATAAATGCTTCAAGAGTTGTTGATATTCTATGACTTTTAAAATCAGTTCAGCGGCTTAATCTTGAAAAGATTACCTACATACAGACAGTGTCATTCTTTGAGCAAAACCTATTAAAACTGGTAAAAAAGTTTTTTTACATACGTGAATATATCATACTAACGGAAAGAAGTCTAAAATGAAAAGTAGTGTAAATCTATACATATAATAAAATTCTAACTGAGTCAAATCTGTACATTAAATATTTTTTGGAAAATTTAATTGAAATAGACATTATTATCGATACAGAGGCCTAATCTATAGTTTTTAGAATTTTTGTCTGTTCGTCCGTCTGTCTGTTACCGCATCACGGAAAAACTACTTGACGAATTTTGATATAATTTGGTATGATGATAGCTGGTTATCCGGGTCAACATATAGGACTTTTTACCGCGGGAAAATATCTTATTTATGAGAAAAAATACAAGAACTGCATTGTAAGAGTATACTAATATGTAAAACCTAAGAATTTGGTTTTTGGTCATCTGAACGCGGGCGGAGCCGCGGGCAATGCTAGTTTAATATAAAAAAGTATTTCTTTACAGTTATACAAAAGCAAATTCAATTTTTCCTCTCCAACAATTCTAAAATACAAAAATATATAAAATATCTTTATAGTCGTATTATTAATAAAACGGCCTTAATACATTTGTAACGATTGAGTCTTCAGCTGAGGCCTTTAGTGAACTTCTTGTAAGAGCTATTATCGCGGGCATGTGGACGGTCAGAGAGCGTTCGCAGGGCTGTCCACTCGGCACTTCAAACGACGCACAAAATTTATTGTTATTGGATCGAGTCGCGTACATGCATCCACACTCCGCGGCTATCACGACAGTACAACTTTATCTCAGTGTTGCACTATTCTGAATAAACTGAGTGCCCTCTACGTGTTGCTTTCGACTTTTATGCGACATTTAGGTGACTGCTGAGTGATGCAGTGGATTTATATGGCCGAGAAAAAATATCTCAAAAATATACAATAAATATTAAACTGATATTATATAATAACAACATATAGTATATAATGTTATACACACATACATATATTACGTTAATTTTACTTCTTACTAGGAGTTAAATTACATAATATAAATTACTAAAGAGATATTTGTTTAAGGAATTGGGTACATAATATTTGTGTTATGCAAATATTAAGTTACTCGGAAAATATAAAAATAATTTATATGGATCGAAATCTGCTAATTCATTAAATAAATGTGTAGTTACACATTTAAATATTTAACGAAAATTACAAATGACGTTGACACTTTTATATGTACTTATTATTTAGATAGGTTATTTTAAGCAGATTCGTTCGATTTGTACTTAAATGGTGCGTAAATAATGATCCACCTAATGAATCGGACATAAATACGTTTGCCATCACTCTGTCCCTTTTATTTATTATCTTATAATATTAAATGAGCAATTTTTGTATAAACATAATACATATACCTATACACTTATTACATGCACCTCGGAAACAGCTCTAACGATTTGGATCAAATTTTGTATTTAGATCAGATTTTGCTTTTTAAGTTTATTTTTATTTGTAAGTTACCACATAAGTGTAACGTATGATGTTTTTATGCATTCAGTCCTTTTTATAATGTCCAACTGCTGGACGGGCCTGGCTTCAGTAAGACAGGCCAGGCCTAGTAGGCCAACCTATATGTAAGTGTCTTTTCTGAGAGGAAACGTAATTTTTTCATCTTTTCTGAAAAACCACGACTTTTACTATCACATAAGACCACAATTATTTAACTTAAAAATTAAACTTTGGTTGAATAAAAAATCTAAAGTAACAAATATGACGAAAAACTTTAGGACGTTTTTATTCAATATTGCAATGATTATCGATATCCGGAAAGATTGATTCAGGAGTTTTTAATGACTGCGAGAAAAAGGATAATTGCACGTATGATCTGATTGTTATACTCAAGAATTATGAGGCTATTGTCAGGAGGTGGGTGAAAGAATAATTACAGGATACAATTACTCATTTTTTATAAGGCCCACATGTCGGATATGAAGCCTTTCTTATATTTTTGATTTGTGTCGACGTATGTAATGCATTTCATATTTAACTCAATGACTATGCCAATTTTCAGTTATGTCTCAAATCATCGTTTAATTATTAATTAGCGTTTATCTTTTCGATGACTATTCTATCAGTAATGTTTATATCAAAATAGTATCTGATCTATTGCAGTTACAATTAGTATTAAAGTTTAGGTCGGTAATTTGAATCTCTATTAATGGGCCTAGGTTATTAGGTGTCTTGTTTTAATTTACTCAATAAAGCAGAAACTCTCATAGTTCACATTTGTCTGTTGTTGATTCGACATAGTTGTGATTAAGTTTTTTTTATTAATGAGTGAAAGGAATAGTAATTTCGTCCTTAAAATACTATTAAAAAAAAGAATTTATGCATAAATTATATTATATTTTCAACTCTGTCTCCCGCTTTCTCTCTATCTACCCGCACTAGGCTAGCGTGGTGAACTATGATCTGGCCTCTCGTATTGAAGGGAGGCCCATCCAGCAGTTGGACATTAAAAAAGGGCTGTGTGGGGGTTGTTGATAGATGTAAATTGATAGAGTATGTAAATTGATAGAGTCTACTGAGAATGTTTTAAATGCTTGATTTATTAGAAACTAGCGGACCCGACAGACGTTGTCCTGTCTACACGTCTTTAATTTGAAAATTTCAAACTTTTTTTAATAATTTTTTTGATGAAAATTATTATTCAAATTGTGAATCTAAACCATTCCCAGATCCCCTTGAACACACACAAAAAATTTCATCAAAATCGGTCCAGTCGTTTGAGAGAAGTTCAGTGACATACACACTCACAGAAGAATTATATATATAAAGATAAACTGCTATATTAAAATGATTAAAATGATATGATATGATGTGAGCGCGCCCGGGCTTCTTGCTTGCCGAATGCGAACTAGCCTAACTTTTAAAATAATAATGAATATATAATACAATAAATGACGCGTCATGAGAAAAAATGATGAATTACAATATGTACGGTTGCACCGTACATGCTGAATGCATATAAACATTATTTATGTGTTAATTAAAATAACCAATTGCCTATGCTGTATCGTGAATCCTACTATTAAACAGTTGTTCTAGCAAAAAATAGGTCCAACATAAAGCTGTTCAAATAGCGTCATATATTTTTACTATATTATATTTACTTTATATTTTACCATTTATACGTGTTTTAAGTATTTTTATGTAACATAATATTTTTATAGCTTTGCTTACCTCGCCTATAAAATAAATATGGAGCCAAATCATGATATTTTTACATTAAACTTCAAAGTAATATGTTGATGCTAGTTTTAATTTTTAATGAAACCAACGTGGATTTATCGATAAAATAACATTTTTGCAAGTTTAAAATTGAGTTTTTGTTTTATAAATAAAATACATAAAATGTTTTCAATAAAGTTTATTTTAATATTTCATAGGTACGTATGTAAGTTGCCTACTTCATTTCACATTAATATATCTATCTATTAATAAATAGTCCACAGTGCTAAGAAAGCTTAACAATATACATATATACATAACGTATTTGTTTATAAAACTATATAATAGTGCTATTTTACAAACGAAAGGAATGTTGTAGTAAATAATATCTAAATTTTCGTTGACAATAAATTTCACTAAAATTCCTTAGACTTAACGAGTTTTATGTTATAACTTAAACTTATATTAGAACGTGTTTAGATGTTTAGCAATCCATAATAGGAACTATAAACAAGGTGAGACCGTGGCTTCTAAATATTATTGATATGTCACTTTGGTATTTTATTTACTTTACGATAGGTATATTCCAAAGTTGTAGCACCGGCGACATAAATTAATGTAAAAATATTGATCTATTTTGAAAATCTCATATTTTAAATCCTTTGTAAACAGCCAATAAAAAACAGTTAAATTCTCCATGCTCTACTTTAAACTGTAAACAGCACTTTCTTTAATATTTTCCATTCTCAAGAATCTTAAATCTCATAATATAATACTATTTATAAATAAAACAGTTTCTTTGTGCATACTTAAATTTATAGCCATCTTTCACAAAACTTAACGCCTATTTATTTACATGAATTTACAAGCAAATTGGTGAAATAGCACTCTAGGATAATTTACATAATTTATTTATTCGGAACATCATTCGATAGGAATCATATTTCTTACATAAATAAAAATAAACTAAGGATTTAATCAACGATCATGTTTAGTCAATTGTAAAGGCAAGTCATTGCTCGCCATCCTTTGCCTGGGACTTGGGGATCTGGATCTTATTTTATTTTTTTCTGTTTCATCATCACTTTCATGGACGTTAATTTCTTCATCAGAATCTGAATGTGAATCGTATCCGCGCAATTGAATCGATTGTGCTGCTAATAGCGCGGCGGCGTTGGGCACTAAAGCTTTGAATGCACTATTGTCCAAAGCAGGATGGGGTTTGAATGCACTGTCGAATGAGGACTGGGATAGTTTCAAAGCATTTGCTTGCGAAAGAGATTTAAGGCTAGAATCATGATGAGCAAGAGCCTTAAAGGCACTGTTCTCACCACCCATTTGTGGAGCGTGGTAAGAAACGGGATTTGGAGAAAGAGAACGGGAACGAGAACGGGATGGTGAATGAGGTAGTGGGAGGGGTGGGGAGGGGGAGTTGGGAATGCGGAGTGAGGGAGAGCCACCGCGCTTTAATAGGTTCATGCGCTGGTGGCGCCTCCACTTCGCTCGTCTGTTGGAAAACCAAACCTGTCAGTAACGGTAAACTTGATTAGTATTCCGATCTTGTCGTGTCAACAAATATTCATTTATGCAAATGATAGTGGTATAAAAGCTCTGATTTGACTAAAGCTATTACAATGTTGACGCGTATGAGGTGTTGAATTAATTAAATTACGTGTGTAAGAAAGATAAAATACATTTAATGTTTTTTGAAATTACAAAACTTAATAAAAAAATCGATATAAAATTTTAATATTTACCTGAACTCGAGCTTCTGAAAGGGATGTCTTTGAAGCTAATCTTTCCCGTGTTGAAACACACGGGTAATGAGATTTTTCAAATTCCTTTTCTAGTTCCTCGAGTTGGTCGGGGCTAAAGGTCGTGCGATTTCGTCTAAACTTCGGCTGTTCGCCATCTAACGATCCAGAATCTTCGCCGTCTACATCTAAACAAAAAAAATAATTTTCTTATAAATGATAACTACAACAAATTAAAGTACTATTTTCGAGACACAAGTTACATGTTTGTTAAAATGATCTCTATTATTTGCAAAATTATATAAATCTAAAAACCAAATGTACACGTAAAAACAATTTATCTATGAGAAAAAGGTAAAACAATATATCGAAAATAATAAATATTTTGGCATGACACACGCCCATTTATAATGTAAGAACGTTTAAAAACTTACCAATAAGGCCACGTCCCGACGATCCCAAAAAGCCTTGCTTAATCGCATCAGGATGGGGCACTCCTACTGTTGGAGCTGGTACTCCTGGGGGTAATGGTAGACTTCCAGGAGGCCACACACCACCACCGGCCCATGGAAAGCCACCATACGGCGGTGGTGCTGCATATAGACCATAGCCTGCTGCTCGGGCGAATTCAGCAGCGGCACGTTCAGCAGCTCTATTCCGTAATATCCGATTTATAGAAGAAACACTTGGAGCTGTAGCGTTGGTACAAACACCTAGGAGTGCAAAAAGAGAATACGTATTATAAATGCTAACAATAGTTATTAAGTTAACAGTTTGCGAAATAAACTACTAGAAAACATTTCCTATGAGAGTATGGGCAGTTCTTATTTTTTTACTAAGTTGCTTTCATAGGTACGGTAGTAATATTACGATGTTTATAATAGTATAATTATATTATTCTATATACTACAAATAAGTTAACAGTTAAGTATAAGCCCTCTTATTTAAGGGAGGCCTGTGGCCAACGGTGGGCAACACCAACAGGTCAAGGTTGGATAGTTAAAAGGCGTTGAATACAAAGCCGAATTAAGCGCCGGAACTCCTCTTTTTAGACGTCGGCTAGTGATCATTTGTAATAATCATCATGAAATGACATTAACTTAAACCCTCAAAATATCAAAAGAAATACTTTTTAAGCGCCTAAGTGCTATTTTATCTATAACAACAAAAATATTTAGAGCACAATTTTGTTAGTTTCTCAGTTTTCCCGTCAACTTCTATATTTTATTTACTTAATCACTTAACTAAAGTATAAGAAAATATAACATAAATCTCAAAAACCGGACTCTGAGTAGATGAAATCAATACTGTAACTGTATAAAAACTATTTTTTATTTATGTGTCTAATAAAACAAGCTAATTGCGAATAGTTTAAATAATAATACAAAGTAATAATTTGGGACGTAATTATTTACATATATTGTATTCGATATTTTAAAAGAAGATATAGGGAACCTATTATACCTCAACCGTATTTTTTTAAAGCTCCCGCGCTTTAAAATAATATTGTCTATGGTAGTCGAAGTATCCTTTGTAGACTTCAAGGTAAAGTTAGTTGTGATTCGCCGGCGCATTAAGTTGAAAGTGGTAATTTATTATTTCTTGCTCAAAAAGTGCGCTTTTTGTACTTTACCTATAGATTATTTATTTTATACTAGCGGAAGCCGCGGCTTCGCCCGCGCTTAGTCTACAAAAAAAACCTCTTTGGCTTTATAATAATGTATGGAAGTCTGCCCGATTTGTTGACATTTATGATTACTGCTCCGCTCCCTTGGGTATATCATAATATTCGATGTAGGATGTAGCCTTCCTCAATAAACGGGTTATCTAATGCAAAAAGAATTTTTCGAATCAGATTAGTAGTTCCTGAGATTAGAGTGTTCAAAAAAACAAACAAACTCTGCCTCTTTATAATATTAGTATAGTTTTGTTTATACATGTACATCATGTACATGTATAAACAAAACTTTAATTTTTACACACTTTATTGACACTCTAATCTCAGTATAATATGTCGGTAATAGATGGTAAAGGTTTTCGAACATAATCCCAATTTTAAATGCGTTTATCAAGCTTGTTAAAATAAATTGTTGCAATGTTGTACCAGATACATCATGTGTATAATATACAATGTATGTACATGCATATATTATAAGTATTGTACCTTGAACATCAAAAAATTGCACCTAACATGAAAACCCCCAAAAATAAAGAGAAGGAAAAGTATACAGAGTATAAAGAAAAGTTTGGTTGAGTCTGATTCTGAAGAATCTAACTATTCCATGCCACTGATGATTCTTTCGAAGATGAAATAAGGGACAGTGAGGTAGAAAATTACAATATTGAGGGTTAGATTGGATACTTCGTAATATTTATTTATGAAGAAGAATACTTTGTGGGACAAATGACGTTTACAAATAAAGAAAGTATTTTTGGTGGATGTTGATGCAAAAATCTCTTAAGAACTGGAAATGGCTCGTTAAATATTATATGAATTTGTATTCATACAAAGATATAAAACAAAAGATTAACGTAGCAAAGAGAGTCCATTCGAAAAGAGTTCTATTATTAATTTAATTAATTTCTTCACAATATTTTACAACAATATTACCTGTGCGTTTCAGTTATTTTGATTATTTAATTGCAAAGTAAGTGAACTGACTTCATACCGTAAGTCTGCACTTCACTTCCCTTTTTGTATTATTATTACCACATAAGTTGTAGTTGCGCGCGCAAACTGTTACATGATTATAGTTTTCTACACTATTTCTTGAATAACGTTGAAGTAATTGCAATATGCACTGTAAATTAGTGACCAGCAGCACGTTAAAACCGATGCGTCATTGGTCGCGTTTTAAATCGGCGGCCATTATATATTTTAATGCGTGCTGAGGATCGCGTGTCGACTCAACCTTGGCAGAGCCATCCCATGTAATTTTCAGGAAACACTCTGGGTAAGTGGCATAATTTAATCATACCCTGTCCGGGTGTAATTGTCGTAGATTTCGTTGTTGAGCTACTGAGCAGTTGCTCTGCTCGATCATGCAGTGTGATATAAAACTCTAATTTAATATAATTACTTTATAGAATGTTATACAATTTGTTGTTAGTCTATAATTTAAGAAATTGTAAGATTATTACAACTCTGTATAGTCCCTAAATTATTCTTGCTTTAATCTGTGCCAAGATTTAAACAATCAAATTATTTTGATCTTATAAATTAAGTTTCTATTTAAAAATAGCACTGTCGATAGCAAAGACGTTTACGACAAAATTTATATGATGAATTTGTTTACCTATCAAAGAAAAATCACACAAAACTTCTAATAAGGTTAATTCTTTAGTAAATGAAAGTAACTTTACTTCCACAACGCAATTGTAAGACAGATTACTCATTTAATCGCATCTATTACTTATGTATGAACAATTGCAAAATATATCTTGGTACATTATATTTCCTTTGTCAATTATTATTATACGAAGTCATATATTCAAGTAGAACAATTATATCCAGGAACCATAATTTTATCTAATTGCTTAATAGACACCGTAACTGTACTGTCGAAGACATTTTCCTGGATGCCTCGTTAAAGACAATTATTCATAGAAGTACGTACATAAATAAACCGCCCTATAAGTGTTCAATCTTTAAATTATAAACTATTGATTTTTTTAACAAAGCTCTTCGACTCATCGTATTTACTTAATAAAAAAAAAATAATATGGTCACGCTTAGTAATGAAGCTCTATTGAAGCTCCCGAGCGCAATACTGGCACATCAAATACAATACAATACCGACCTGTTATAATTTACTCAAAACACAAAGCCTTATATAGTATAATAGTAATGATCAGTTGCGTACCTCCGCTTATTGTTAGCACGTCGAAAGCATAAAAAGCTGCCCTCAACACAATTTGTTTGCTTCATAATCGGTGCGTTAAGATGCCTCCTTAGAAGGTATTCTGGAGCAGACGCACAGCCAATACCACAATATTGCTGAGAAATGCTCATATAAATGAGTAGTTATTTATTGAAGAAATTTTCGATCAAGCGTAGAAGGTACAACGTGTTATAAAAATAAAGCGTATTGTTCAAAATTTTATGTTTCAGAAAGTATTGTCATTTAATTTGCTGTCCATAGACAATATAAAAAAAGTTCATGATTTTCGGAGAACAGTTAAAATCATTTTTTGTTACAAATAATTTTATTCACCGTACCGTACCTACACTTTTTAATTTATTTGCTCGCATTACCAATTTAACTACGGTATTTTTTTGCGAAAATCTATTTTACTTAAATTTAAATTAACCGACAAAGTGATCTTTATATATTTTAATGGACCGCTTAAATATACAGTTAACATTACAATCACCTATTTAAAAATTGCATAAGTTCGAGTGCAAGTAACAGGCCTACTTCCGTTGGTTCAGACGTTGTTACAATCAAATGATTAAACTTGTATCTCGTGTCTTGTTTTTTGAGTCGTTGATGATATAATGACAAAGACCACTGGTTAACTATTTGTTTTGAAAGAGATCATTATCCGTCAACAGGTTGCAGGTGGGAATGCGATATCTATAATTGTTCTTTTAATGATTTGGGATCCGATTCGGGCCCTAAATGCCTAGTCACGGCCATGCAATTTGTCTATAGTCGTTTAATCATGATTAGTCACAATGGAGTCCACTTCTATTAAAAGGTTTAGATGCTTTAAATAAAAGGAGCTGTGTTCGCGTCATATCTAAATACTTAGCTCCATTGACTGAACTACTGGTAAAAATTATATCTGCCTAGTTACTAACACTAAGCAAGTTATACAAATTTAGGCTATTGGTATCTGAGTAGTAGGAACCCATGAAAACCTAATAAAAAGCAAATTGATTTAAAAATCTTAATGTTTTACTCCGGAATGGTATTAAGTTGGTACCTGCCTAAAAGCGTGGCATGTCCAAAGATAAGACGATCCGGCGCCGTCTGCTATGGAGTGTTTAATCGGGTTAATTTATCGATAATTGACGGAAAACCTTTTTGTTTGTATTGCCGGAAAGTAACAGTAATTGTCACGCCTTTGAAGATTTACGTCCGCTTCTAAATTAAGACATTAACAATCGGATCTCGTGCCTAATGGTTTGGAATGAATTTATTTGTTTTACCTGAACCGGCTTTCGATAAATTTGATTAGTCCCATTACCGGAGAAATGGAAATTGAGCTCGAGAGAGTTACCTCATAACTGATTACGTAAGCTAATAATCATAATATTGTAAATGTTCCAAGAAGTGAAAATAATTAGTTATTTTTATTGCTCGTACATTATTCATATACAAAAAGCTTGAATATTTTTATGTCTTCCAAAGACCATTAAATTGCGCATCAAGGTTATCATGACTAAAGATAGCAAGATTTCAAAATGTTTTATAATTAAAGAATTAAAGGTAAGTCATTAAGAGCTCATTTGAGGGAAGTCACGGACAGTCCCATTCTCGATCGGGGGTAAACGACACTAATTGTAAACTTTCGTTTTGTTACGTATTGGAATTGTACGCGATACGCGATCCGAAATCACGTCCGCTTCGAACAAGTGGAGCCAGTTAACGAATGAGTGGCATCACGTCGTCTAAATGAATTATTGTTGGCTTTATGAGGAACATAAAACGATGAGATCGGAGGCAATCAAGCGGCACCCGCGGCGTGGACCAAGTAAAAAGGTGTC